TGAAAATTGGTATGTTATACCGATGTATTTTGTTTAATATGGAGGTTAATGTCTACGAACCAATGAACCACATCATTAATGTGTTTAATGTCTTTGCTGTCTAGAGCGAAATGCAAGCTCTGAAGTTATAGCGCTGGCGATAGCAATACTCTGCTTGGCCGTTTCTATCATTGGAAACATTACTTTATTCTGCCGCCGGACTTCAAGAGCAGGTTGTTCACGATGTAAAGGTACGTTTTGTTGATTTAGTCAAAAAGTTTAATACGCCGATTATTTTACTTTAAATAGTTTTATAAGCATGACATCATGAGAGACACGATTAACCTTAATCTCATGTTCTTGGATACTATTATACTTAACAAATCTGCTTTTTTATACATGGAAATCTGTTATTCTGAATATTATTATATGAATTTATCAGCAAACATCTGCAGCACGATTCTCCATATTGGTTGTTCCATTTATGTTAAATATGCTTAACCCCCATAATGCAATGTAGATAATATGAAGTTATGCCATTTGATGGGGATCTGTATTGAAAACTCAGTTTAAATTCATAATATTAATGTTTTCTTTTCATATTTAGGAAATGAAAACGTCGCTTTGCATTCGAGACATGACAACTCAAGCCAACCTGTGCATGATATTGTAAGTAATCATACGAAATTCTTTCTTGTTTGGCTATTTTGATTAACATAATTCTCATCATCCAGTTAATTACATAGCTTCTTACTAAAGAGGTCAATCCTTTGACAATTAATATTGGTTTAACATCATTTTAAAAAGCTAGTCAGCTTGCTGTGTTTGGATATCAGGTCTGTGTCTATGGCAACAGATTGTTACTCTTAGCAGCAGTCCGCTACAAATAAATAATAGACCATTATAATTCTGTAATCAAACAATCATTATCAACAAAGCTATCTCTTAATAATGGAGATTGTATTTGCTGCCCAGACTGAAGGTGGACATGATCTGAACTATGCTGCGGTGCATTTCTCTGGAAGGAAGGCAACAAGAGGAGGGAAGAAGAGAGAGATGGAGACTGAAGAAAGTGTGTACTCTCAAGTTAAATGCTGAATGTGAATGTGAGTCTATGTAAATTGGTTGATAATACTGACCTCTGACAAAGATTTACACTAAATTAGGATTAAAGCTAAAATCCAAAATAGCAGCAAACAGATATTCTCTTTTATTCGATGTTTCACCAATATTTGATTACATGTGTCTGTATGTGTCGTCTTTCATCTTAAAATACTAACCAAAGTGTGTTTTTCATTAAAGAAAATGTAACAAATCATGGGGGGAATGATTTTGTTAGGATTTATTTAGGGCCATCAGACATAACTGTTTCAAGACTTTCTCCTCTGCCCTTTTGTATACATTATGAATGTTCAAATCTGTTTACTTCTTCCATGACCGTCATCTACTTACTGTCTCGGTCAATGCTCTGTAAAAACATCTAACCGCAATTGGGAGTTGTGTTAATGTATTGCTTCCTCTTTTAAATGATTTTTTTATAATACTAAGCTGAAGAAACCTAATCAGTCTTTGTCTTTCTTTTGGCATATTTAACCTGACAATAATCCAATGCAGAGCCAATAATGTAATATAATACATTATGGAATATATAACTTATATATTTATATATGTATATTTATATAGTCTTAAAGTTACAACCGGTCCTTTGAGTGCAACCATAATGCTGATGTGGCCCAAGATGAAATTGAGTTTGACACCCCTGACCTAGATTATGTTCATCCATCAGATAGTACACACAAATCGACAACCATGTTAATTTTGGAAAACATTTTCAGTTTCTATATTCTTTACATATTCACTGCACTTATTCATGTAATCCAGCAGTCTGATATATTGTTTACAGCTTAAAAGGGTGTTTAATAACATTTGGTGATGGTTGTTTATTTTAGTGTTAATGTAAGTAGAGTTAAAACAGACCGATAAAATGTAATCAGGAACACCAAAGTAAGGGGGGAGACACAAATACTAGAGGGGGGTTAATAATTATTGGGTTATTTGAGCAGTCGAATGATTTGCAACAACAAAGGAAAATGTTGCTAGCTAGCTAAGGCGCCGTTTACACGAGGACAAAACGGCTTGTATCTGCATAGTTTCGCGTGCGTATAGCCCTATTATTTACACGAGGCCGATAGAAACGGACCCCACAAACGATAACGGGTCCCAAGGTGGATAGATTTGCAAACGAAACTCTCTGGGGGGTCGTATAGAGTCCGTGTAATCGCCTCTATACGAATATTTCCTGAAAAAATAATGATAGCCCCACCTCTCCCCACCTCTGCTGCTCACTGCTGTAGCAACTATCAAAAATAGCTGTGTTCATTAAACGCACAAGGGGTTCTTGAATGAAATAATATTATAAAAGGCAAACCAGAATTGTTGACGCCCAATATACTCCTTAAACAAAATAAACAGAGTCAGATTTCATGCATTGATCCATTATATTGACAATTTTCCAGCCAAACAACACAAACAAAATTAAACAGTCCGCTCTGCGATACACCAAAATTGTCTTTACTGCCTAATCCAGGCCATTATTGTTCATTGCTCCTGCGCCCGTCGGCGGCAAAAAGAGAAATGTTTGTAGGCCTATTCAGGCTATAATCCACACAAAAAAAGGAAACACAGGACCGGCGTGTCCCAGAGGAGTGATCTCACCCGGTGTTTGTAGAGAATATCTCTCTTTCTGAGCGCGTCCTCTCCACGGAGACGTGCTTCTTGGTCGGTCGATGCAATATCCACAGATTCGGTTTCTTTCAGTTAACTTCCCCGTTGCATTTATCCATATATTTACATGCTGAGGAAATTACTATATCCCGCTGAATACCAGCAATCGCCACACACAAAATAACGATAGCCCCACCTCTCCTGCTCACTGCTGTAGCATGGCCAGTAGCTACTGTCAGTAGCTACTGCTAGTGCTACTGCTACTGACCATGCTACAGATGTTAGTGCAAAATCTACAGCTCCTCTACCACAACCATCAGCAACAAGTGGACATGGAGAATTACATTAACTACTACATGTTGCTAAATCCACCGCGGGGCATAAACAGAAGGGTAGCCATGGCAACATTGCTGCGGGGCTGCTCCGGGGTCTTCTTCGCTGCTTTTGGTGTATTTTGGCGGAAGTTACAGCGCCACTTACAGTCCTGGCATATGTACTACAGCGTTTCCAGCGGTCTCGTTTGAACAGACACGTTAAATGAAACGAATGCATGTGAACGGAAGACTTATTTGAAAGCGCATACTGTGCATAAACGCAAACGTTCCTGTGTGCACAACGCCTAAGTGTCTCGACTAAAGACATGTTGACACGTTGACATGTTTACCACTGGGCTTATAACCACCATCATCTGATTGGTGGACAATCCTGAGCCACCCTATGTATGGCCTCATGTTAGCGTCTTACTTCTGCTGTTTGCCACAAAGATGTTTTTTCTGCTACAATCCAAAATCCCATGTAACTACTACAATGCTAACTTCAAGGTTTGACCGTCAAAGACACATCATCCATGGATCACTCTATTAACAGGCAACTTTTTTGCTACGTCCGGCAGTGGCTCAGTCAGTCGGACTGGGAGCCGTAGGGTCGCCGGTTCAAGTCCCCGACCAGACCTAAATATGGAGTGTGGACTGTTACTTGGAGAGGTCCCAGTCCACCTCCTGGGCCCTGCCATGGTGCACTTGAGCAAGGCACCGGGCATCCCCCTTCCCCCCTCACTCCCATTGCTCCCCGGGCCCTGTACAATAGCTGCCCACTGCTCCTAGTACTAGACTCCTGGTACTAGGATGGGTTAAAAGCAGAGAACACATTTCACTGTGTGTGCTGTGTGCTCTGCATGTGTGACCATTAAAGAGGGTTTCATCCCTCCGGTTCTATTCTATTCTATTTTGTAGCCTACTCTCCAAATACCTCAGTTCAAGCATTATCATCCAAGTACACCTTTACAGGTAATGGGAATACGTGTAAGAGTGACATCCGCTGGCTGTTTACTGTAAGTGTTAAAAATAATTGCTGAATTATCAGAAAAAAACTGTGAATAGTGAATACACCGTTTAAAATGTAAGCCTATCTCGAGTTAACATTGAGACACAAAAAAGGTTCATACTTAGTGTTCATTTTTCAATAACGAGTAGTTTTGCATGGTGAGCCAATGATTTGTTAGCATTTAGTTAGCATAATGTTAGCTAGAAGCCCTTCTAATTCGTAAGGATCGATACCACTTAAACGTTTGCAATATATCGCCCTTTGCCGCCCTAGCTTCTCTTTACATTTGCATTTATTTATTACTCCACAAACCTTTTACATTTATGATGAGGAATGACAGATGAAAAGAGCTGCTATAGCCACGTATGGTTCTCTCTGGGAGAAAAAAAAAAGGCTGCTCCGCCCCAGGATGCTCCAGATTCCCATCTGGACTAAGCTAGCCATTATTGCAACTAGATGTCTTGTGGATAAACAACATTTCAAGTAAACAAAATTATCAGTAAACTTTTCTTACTTGAGTGCGTCATTATGAGATTAGTATTTAATGACTCTTATAACATATTTTACTGGTGATACTTGTGTCTGGTAACTTCACTGGAAACACAGTGTAGCTAATTTTACAGTCTAGGCTTTTGTGAATCCAGTTTCCTTATAACTAAGACTGGTAACTAAGCCTCGTAATATACTCATTCATACTCACTGTCATTGATTTTGTCGTCCAAAGCTGTCTTAACAGTTTCACTTTTTTTATTAAGTAAAAAAAAAGGGACCTTTATTTGAAGATTTGCTTAAATAACTTGAGAAGAATGAAGTGATATGCTTCAAAAAGATCAGAATGGGACCACTGACACAGGAAGTGCACTTTTTTAAATCTTTATTCTGTGAAAACCAATCAGATGCAGAGTGACACGCATATGGGCGGCCATGAGACCTTTTGTACACATTGAATACAAAAAACAAGAGACATTGTCAAGATGTTACTGCTATCGGTAACACTGCTTCTTCTTCATCAAGGATGTAGGTGCAAGTATTAAGTTAAATATTTACATTTAGATATATGAAGGTTCCGATACCTTGTTTTTGCATGATGAATACTCATTTTGTACACTAATATTTTTTTACTGTTTCACGTATTGTATTCTGTCATTTATTTCAGATACGCTGGCTCCAGTGACTACAGTTCAACTTGGTGAATCTGCGACTTTCACCTGTGCTCTGCCTGATACTGGGTTAAAACGCAAAGACCTCCACTGGTACAAGCAAAGTGCTGGAGAGACTCTGACATTAATTGTGACACTGCCCGAATCCTCCAAACCTAAGTTTGCATCAGGGTTTTCTCACTCAAGATTGGAGGTAAATACTGGAAACAATTTAAGCACCCTGACCATTCGGAGGACGATCCCAGAAGATGAAGGAATGTATCACTGCTTAATCGAGGATTGGCTTAGGAATCCGGGATGGAGTGGGACATATTTGTTACTAAAAGGTAAACGTGATCTACTTTTTATTAAGATTTTCACATGTTTTAGATCTGATCTAAAGCTTCAAAATAGCTTTAAGTATCCGAACCCTGATTTGAACATCTACAAAATGGTTTGAAGAATTTATTTCCAAATATTTGTGATGATTTGGGTTCTTGTTAAAAAAAAATCTAATTTCACCATGCCCTGAATCTTAAAATTAAGTTAAAACCACAAATTAACTACATTATCCGGTCTTGGGTTTTTTGATGAAGCACTAATCAATGTTTAACAATGTATTTTTTCTTTGATAAAAAATGTACCACATTTAAGATAGATGTAAACACATTTTAGGCTGTCGAATGTGGTTTTTAACACTTTTTTATTTTCTAGGAAACACTCAGAGGACTTCAAACTATTCTGTTGTTCAGTGCCCGACATTATCTGATCCGGCTCCTCAAGAAAACTCGATGACCCTTCAATGTTCGGTCCTCTCTAAATCGGAGAATAAAACATGTCAAGGAGACATCAGTGTGTTCTGGTTTGGAGCTGGATCAGATACATTTCGTCCAAACATAATGTACACTGATGGAAGAAGACAAGAGGAATGTGAGAAGTTACCGGACACTCAGAAAAGCTGTGTTTATCGCTTCTCAAAGAACTTCAGCTCATCTGATGCCGGGACTTACTACTGTGCTGTGGCCACATGTGGAGAGATATTATTTGGAGACGTTACACATCCGCAATTAGGTATGGTTTTATAATGTTGAATATTAGAGGTGATATTCGAAACATTTTCGTAACATTATGATTGCTTTGTGTTTTTTCTTTGCTGTCCAGAGAAAACTGCAAGTCCTGAAGTTGTTGCGCTGGTGATAGCGATCGTCTGCTTGGTCATTTCTGTGATTGGAAACATTGTTTTCTTCTGTTACCGAACTTCAAAATGTAAAGGTAAGTGATTTTATTACATATTGTGCAAGACATGTAACATCATAAAGGACAGGATGAACCTCAACCTCATGCTTTAAGATAAAATAATAAATAACAGCAGGAGTTGGGTCTTAACAGAAATATTTTATTTAAGATATTACATAAAATAAATGTATGAGCAAACACTGGCAGCAATGTGTCCAATTTTCTGTTAGGTCAAATGTCTGTCTTATTAAGCTACTAAGAAAAAAAGTAATGAATTGAGGTTACGATCCTTATATAAAATGAGGCCGAAACCATAACATCTGCAAGCAACAGTGTCTGAGGGCTTCTTAAGATTTAATAAACTATGAATGTTTAATATCCATGTAACGGGAAGAAACTCAGCTAACTGATGATTTTTTTTTTTTAGCAAAAAAAAACACAAGGCTAACGCTGAGCCTCTGAATTAGCCCTGAGCGAAAAAATGCTAACGCCGTTAGCACAGAACTCACGGTATAACACCCTTATTACTGATCGTAACTGCACATCCAACATATCGATTAGCATCGTGAGAATACACAGAATCGATAGGTATCTATATCATCACTCCATGATCTGAACTTGCGACATTAGAAACAAAAACAGACATCACAACACGTGGCGCTAGGTAGCCAAAACCGCAATATGTCTTACCTTTGTTGTTGTCTGATCAAAAGTTGTCTTCAATGGCATTAAAACGATAAAAACGCTGCTGAAGGTTAATCCATAGGTTAATCCAATGTGTCTGTGTCACTTTGAAATGATTTCTGATAATCCATCAGCAATAAACCTAGTTTTAAGTTTTCAGATTTCAGAGCGTAAGATCGGTTTCGCTTTTGGCAAACTGCGTGCGCATAGCCCCCACTTCACAATGGTAACGTTGGTGTGTATGTGGAAATCCCCCTTCGATTCTATTGGCTCTAACGGTTCAAAATCGACCCATGGGTTCCAGAGAAATGGCAAAAACGCCCATTTCCACCCAAATGACCCCAGAGGTGGAGATTTTTTTGCTAAACCTCTCTAAAAAGGTCAAATGTCACTTGTTTTGCATCAATCTTGATACAGGGTACTTATTATATGTTGTACTTTGGATTCCTAAAGCTTTTAGTCTACTAACCCATCATCCAAGGGTAGTTTTCACTATAAGTAAAAAATAATTTTTGGACGGACACTATAATTTACAGTTTTTTACTATGATCAATCTGAATTTTCTTTAAAATAAAAAACATCTATATTGATTCTGACTTTTCTACATCCAACTCAAAGGTTTATCATTACTTTGAGAAAAAAGATTATTAGTTTTCCCCTTTTAGAAGTGTAGTTATGGTCATTTGTTCTGGAAATGTCATTTTCGAGACCTGAAAAACAGGCTTGGGGCTTCACAGGTAAACCAATAACATTTGGGTTTTTCGATTTCATTTTTAGGAATAGAAAACCACACTGGGCAAGCAAGATATGACAACTCAAGCCAACCAGTGCATGATATGGTAAGTAATGACACAATATTTGTTGTCATCTTTTTTAATAACATGAAATCAAACAGCACCACTAACAGTAAACATGTAAGGGAGGATGTACATCAGGCTGGTCATTAGTGCGATGTGAGCCCTGACAGGGTGAGCAGGAATCTTAAATCCTCTGGTGGATTCATTTTGTCCAGAATGACCGACTAGCTGTACGATGTCCTTCTAATTACATGACTACTTACCAAATACATCAACCAAAAAGTAAATGTATAATGAGCTTTTTATTTGCTGTACAGATTGAAGGGGGAAATGATCTGAACTATGCTGCCCTTAATTTCTCTGGAAGGAAGGCTACAAGAGGAAGAAATAGGAGTGATTTGACGACTGAAGAAAGTGTGTACTCATGTTAAAAGCTAATTGTGAATGTGTGTCGGTTGGTTGATCATACTGACCTCTGACAATGACTTATAATGTACATGTTTGCTTCCATTTTGTTTGGAGAAAATATTTCCATGCTAAAATCTGAAATCATATCATACAGATGCTTGTTATATTCCTTGTTTGTCCATTATTTGATCTGCTCATTCTGTGTTTGAATGTGTTGTCATTTTATCTTAGAAATACTAACCCTAATTGGTTATATTAAACACATTAAAACAAATAATTGAAAAAAAGGTTTTTCTTAAAGGGCCCATGTCATGGCCATTTCCACTGATCATAATTACATTGTTGAGGTATACTAAAATAGATTTATACTGTGCAATTTTCCAAACTCACATTGGTTTCGCATACAGCATCTCTGTCAAGCATGTGTATTCAGCAGTATTCACTTTCTCCACTAAACGACTCGTTGGAGCTCTTGCCCCCCCCCTCCCTGTGAGCCTAGTGTGCTCCGATTGGTCAGCTCGGCCACTCGTTCTGATTAGTCCACCACCAGAGAGGCTGCGCCCATGTCAGTGCTTTTCCCGGCTGCTCTCAGCGTAACATCAGTCTTATCATGGCGTCGGTACAGCGGTATATTTTATATACATATATATTTTTAACTGTTGTTATAAAAGAGTGTGACGGCCCCAGGGCCTTTGTCTTACGATGGGGTGGAGCTGAAGAGGCTAATCAGCACGATCACGGACACCTCCGGACCCAGTCTCTCTCCAAAGCGGCTGCAGGAAGACTAACTCTGCGATCCTCTCAACCACCTATCTCTGCATTTACCACAATAAATGTGCCGTGGTTTTGTAAACTCGTGTATGTCTCCTTGTTTTTCCGTTGTGGCCTACGAGCCACTCTCATAACAAAGAGTAAGTTATTTTTACCCGTTATAAACTACTACTGTTTGATGAGAAATCAAATCATGGTTTGCTATATATGAATTCAGGGAAGAAAGGATAGGCCTACTAAGTATTTCCATTAAACTTTATTTTTAGAAATGTACAAAATGAACATAAATATACATATATACACACGGTATATCATTCATTCCTCCTCCTCGCATCTTGCCTGCGCACAGTCGGTGCGGTGCCTTTTAGCACGACGCCTCAGTAGTAGTCGAAGTCCCTTCCCCGTCATGGATTGTCCGCCAGGATCTGGCTGGACGAAATCAAATGCAAATCACAAAATATTAGAGAAACTTAGTTGTTTTAGATTCGTTAGTAGTAGTTGTGTAATGAACAGCTTGCCTGCTAATATGCTAACCTAGCTTTGTTTACCTTGGTAGCTAACACGATATGAACGTTAGCTTGGAGGAAAGGCAACTATAATGCAGTGTAATAAAACTACTATGAACAAAAGCTAGTGGTTCATATTAGGCTAGCAATAACGTGTTTATAATTGCAATCGTATACGGGTATTCTGCTACCATACAATGTAACTTGCATGAATACATTGTTTTGCGCTAGCATACAGCTAGCCTCGTTAGCTACATGCAGTATATGTACGGTCACAATGTACGGTAAATCACAGTACAGTATACTGTATGAGTATTCCGTGTGTGTGACTGCAGACATTCTCCTGCCATGACAAACATGTAAGGCCATCTGCTGACATTGTAGTTGATATATTTAAACGCTAGCAACGTAGCATCACAAAAATGTTTTTCCGACCAAAACTAGCTCTAGCTCCGTGTGTTAGATCGCTACGCCAGCTATAATGTAATTACGTTTCGCGACTGACCGGCAAATCACCCGGAGTATACTGTCAATAGGTATTTTGTGTGTGAATGCAGACATTCTCCTGCTATGAGATACATGTATGCAAGGCCATCTGCTGATATTAGAGTTGATATATGGAAACTCTAGCAACTTAGTTAGCACAGTTAGCACTGTGTCAATGGCTTAGCAGTCCAACACAGTTTACACATTTAAACAGTCTTGTTTGATAAATACACAAATAACAATGCAAACTTACAGGTTGTATACCCAGATCTTCCCCTGCTCCAAACAGTCCAAACAAGCTGTGCATATCCGGCCTCAAACTGGGCAATGTTTTGGAAGCTTTCGTCTGTGAAATGCCGGTTCTTCGAACCTCTGGAGGAGGAACACGCCGCTGCTGGTGTGGCCATAGCTCTTCGGGATTGGTCCATTTCGTTCCGGGTACCGCATGACATCAGGCGGTACCCGGAAGAATCAAATGGGCAGTGACGTATCTCCAACGAGGCGTTTTGGGGAGGTATTTTCTGTGTTAGAGTTTTACCCGCTACATGGTGTACTTTGAGGGTTTTGACTCTGCACACTGTTTACATGCATAAAAACCTTCATAACACACAAGGGGACGGGTAATAACCGGAAAAGCATGACATGGGAGCTTTAAGATGTATTTAGGGCCATAAAACATATAACTTTACAACTTTTTTGTAAAAGGAAATATCACATCTGTACTTAAGTAAAAGAGCTAACACCAACAAATAATGTTACGCTAATATAATAAATAATTAGATTCTTATAAATCATGTATTAATGCAGTGGTCACCAGTATCTGATCAATCATAATGACCCATCATAATTGAAAAGTCCTTTTTCACCTTCTGTATTTATTTCAATGGGGGTGGAAATATAATTATTATGTGATATGATAATTATCTGCTTGGTCCTTTTGGGGTTGTTGTAAAAGTTGTCTTCATCTGGCGCTTTGAGTACAGAAACAATGTGAAAGTGAGTGTGAGAGGAAAACATTGTTTCAAAAACAAAAATGATCATTTTTGGGTTTAAGAAGTGATGAACAGTGGCAGAAACATAGTAAATGTTACATTACTAATAGATCTCTATCACTCATACGAATATACATATCATTTTCCAGGAAGTGTAATTATTTTGCCATGCTGGTACCAATTTAGTTTTGTCTTTTTATAAGATACTTTACTTTGTGTTTAATATTACCTATCACACGTAAAAACTGGACTCATTGTGCACTCACTATTCCTGTATTGTAGCCTGTTCTGAATATACTGTCTTTGCATATTAACCCAACATAAAGCCTAAACAGTCTTGTGTTTAGATAAAAACTCAAATGTGTTTCAAAGTTCAAGCCAAACATTAATTAAAACAACAACAATTAAATAGAATTGTACAACAGGTGACTTTATCAAACAAAACATGTCACAACATTTTCTGAATAAAAATAACAAAGATGGATTTTCTGGCAGAAGTCTTCAGTAATGAATCAGTCAATTATTCAGTGTTTATTCAAGATCAATCTAACATGAAACACAATAGACCTTATTTTGTCGTGTAGTTCACTGATGATCTGTCATGCCAGAGTATAGACAGTCCTGCGGTAACTCACTGTTTTTCCATCTTTTGGCTTTTCTTGAGGGGAAATCCAGCGCTACATAGTTCAGTGCTGTTCCACCGCCCTGCAAAAGAAAATAAATAGGATTGTGAGCTGTAAAGGTCCCCTATTATACTGTTTTTCATCAATATATTATAGTTCCCAGTTATATACAAAACATGTCTCTGAAGTGTTTGGCTCCAAATACCAAACAGATCATTGTAGCATCCCATAATCCCCTCTGTTTCAGCCCTGTTTCAAAAGTGCTGATTCTCTGTCTGTTACTTTAGATCAGGGGTGTCAAACTCAATTGAATCGCGGGCCACATCAGCATTATGGCTGCACTCAAAGGGCCAGTTGTAACTTATATATAAATATATATATAAAATAATGTATCATATTACATTATTGCCTCTGCATTGGATTAATGTATCTGATAGGGTAATAACTTCATAATTAACTATGTCTGAAAGCAGAAGTCTGGGGCAAATAATTGCAAGTCTCTTCAGTGAGAATGTCCCAAAATGATTTAAAAAGAAAAGCTGGAAAAAAAGTCAAAATCGGAAGTGACATTTAAAAAAAAGGAAGTGACATTTAAAAAAAAGAGTCAAATTCTGAGAAAAGGGCACATTCTAAGAAAAAAGACATATTTAGAAGAAAAAAAGTCAAATTCTGAGAAAAAAGTCTAATTTGAGATGCATTGTGGGACATGTAGTTTATGGGCAACGTGCTTCTGTAAATCATCATGTAACCGTATAATAAACATATTATATTCTTTGCAAGGTCTTGTGGGGCCACAGAAAATGAAGTCACGGGCCGGATTTGGCCCCCGGGCCTTGAGTTTGACACCCCTGCTTTAGATGGAAAATAAGGAGCCACTCCCAACGCCCCTCTGAGAGATATTTGGTTAAAATGAACACAATGGTGCTCTAGGAGGAGATTCAGGTGATAAGGTGGGGGGGGGGGGGGTTACCTTGGTTAGTTATTGGCTAATGGTTACACAAGCCAAAACATCGTTATGACATAATAAAGTGGCAAAAATCTGATCAGCTCATTTTCAGACAGGTTTTTATATATATGGATCAGGACAAAAAGTGAGCGAATCTTTTTTCCTGAAACTTTCAGAATCTCTTTACACAGAGGGGACACATGTTTATGTAGAAAAGACGTGAAGAAGTGGATTTTGCATAATAGGTGACCTTTTAGAGCATTTAAACCACAACCAAGTGAATTTCAAATTAAACATCAAAATTATATGTCAAATGTGCAGTTAAGGACCCAAAGATTTCTGGGTCTTTTTCTAACCCACTTGTAACTGCAGTTACTGCAGTCATGCATAAGATGATATTTAAATGATCTTTACCACATGAATTGATTCATCCTCAGCCAATCTTTCATCAAGAGCATGGTTGGAAGATTCTCCTGTAAAAAAAAAGAAAAATGAAAGGCAAACAATGAAGCTATTGTTGTCATTTCACATCAAAGTTTGTGATCCAGGAATAATTACTTTACTGCTGGCACAACCCCACATTTGAATCTTTACTGGCATTTCATTTACATTAGTGCACGTAGAAGAGCTGAAAGCTGAAGCTATTAATGTACCAATACAGACGTTATGATAACCATTATCAAACCATTACAATTACTGCAAAACCTAGGTAAAGATATGCTGAACTGCTGAATCCTAACTTGGTTAATGTATCAAAGACTTTACACAAACTCCATGAATCTACCTTTGCAATGTTCACAAACTGACTTTTGATTTCTGAAGATTATAAGAACAGCAATCACAATCAAACAGCAGGCCAGCAGCGTCCCGAGCACAGGGACAAATCGGTCCAGTTGTTGTCCTGTAATGAGAAAAACAATTACAGAGAAAATTAACTATTAGCTCAAATGTAATTTAATTGCTTTTACATTAGTAAATAATTATAATTAATTATAGTTGTATAATCACTAAAAGCTCTGAATTTTGAGTGATGATCCACTACTGTACATATTTCGTGTGTCAGATAGGAGGGCTTGTTGGCCTTCCATAACAGTAACAACTGAAAGGAAAACAAATTAATTGTTTCACAGCAGCAGTGACTTGTACTTTAAAAACGCTTTTTGTAGTATTGCTCTAATGTGCAATTTTAGAGCCATATATTATAAGCTGCACAAGTACATGAACAGCAAAAGAAGCCTTGATGTACAAAAGAGTACCGCAGGAAATGTAGGAAACACACACACTGAAAAAACAGATAGGGAAAGTGTAGCGGAGGCAGCTAGCACGAAAGCCTACTGTATTAAGGAAGAAAGCGAATAATCAACATAGATGCATTGTGAATTAAATAAGACATAACGTACTTGTCTCTACTGTAGTTCCTTCTCCAAACAGGATCTGTCCACATGTAGCCACAGCACAGTAATACGTCCCGGTATCAGAGGAGTTGTGTATAGTTTTGGACAGACTGAAGACACAACTGCTTTCCTTTTGTTCCTCACTGTGAGTGTAAATGATGCTTGGATGGGATTCTCCTGATCCAGACCTGAACCAGTACACATTGTGTTCGCCTGGACACTGATCCGCGTCTTCTTTGTGTTTGGAGAGGAGTGAACACTGGAGAGTCACTGAGTCGCCGGGTTGGACTGACTTGGTCTTCGGACTTTGTTTCACGTAGATAGATTTCTTCAGGTTTTTATGATCTGTGTGATGGACAAAAAGGCAGGATTTAACTAATGGATAGTAAGTTAGTTAGAGAAGTCAAAAGTCAACTTTAATGTGAATCTTACTCAGTTTGTGTTTACAGACAGAGAGATCGAAATGACGTTTCCAACAATCCTGAATATACAATTATAAAATATACAGATATGTATAAAGATATGTATAAAATATGTATATCCTATATACACAATCAACAGACACATTTACACATATGCACACATTAAGATAAAAAACACAACAATCAATATATACTAAATAATACATACAAAATAACAGTCACTTCAATATCAATATCTTTGGTGCAAGATTGTCCATAGAATGTGCATTTATTGCAGATTGTCCATAGCAGCGTAAATGTCTTGTTCTCTTTGAGTGTCTGAGTGTGTGTGGGGAGTTATAGTCCATTCGGGGCAGGGGAGGGAGGGGAGGGAGCGGAGAGAGTAATTGACAAAGCAGCAAACAATAAATGAACATACTTTACCATTAACAACCAAAAGTGTGCTATTAACCAATTCCATGGTGTATGCTGTTCCTGCTTGACAGAAGTACGTTGCTTCATCTTCTTTAGTTACATTTCTGATGTTCAGAACAAACTGAGCATTCCGTTTTTTAACAGTTAGTCTTGAGTTTTTAAATTCTCCTTGAAGTGTTATGTTCGCCAAAGTTCCTGCTGCAACTGTTTCGACCATATATCCAAACTTCAGCTTATACCAGTAAAATAACCCGGCTTCATTTTTAACAGTTGAACATGTCAAACCCAAATCATCGCCAAGTTCCACCACAGTCAAAGAGATCTGGTGAGAATCCTCTGCAGTTTGAATCAGGGCTGAAGAAAAGAGATAAATACAGTCTCAAAAACTGTTACAAGCTCAACAGAAGACAGTTAGATACAATAATTCCTGACATGTTTTGTGTTATATTTATACAAAACTATATATTACAGTTGTATTCATCTTAAAGTAGAAAAGGGAAGTTGCACTCACACAATGCACTTAGAAAAATCAAAGCAGCCAGTCCTCCAATCATTGTGACACAGAGCCCTGCTCGTGCACCACTGATGTCTTCAAACTCAAATGGAAGATTTTGTGTCATGGTTTTCAAGGCTTACAAGGTGGAAATCAAACCGATTGGCTGAGACATAATGTACTTCCTGTAACATTTTGCAAACCGATGACCCATTTTTGGTAAATATAGTAACGAATGCTTTTTTCACTGTATCAAAGCAAAGGCAGTACATAATGTACACCTTAGCTGCCTTTGCTTTGATACAGTGAAAAACAATCACTATAAATAACCTTTCGTCGACTTTAAATGTACAGTACATTTAAAGTCGACGAAAGGTTATTTATAGTGATTGTTATACTAAATAATAATTTGGGAACATCTGCACATTCTTCAAATGTTAAAGTTTAGCTTTGAGTGTTTTTGAGTGCATGTTTGATAATAAGAGAAACACTATGCTCTTCCTCCAAATGGCACTAAATCATTGGGAAATGCAGGATCATGGAAGTACTAAAGGCTATAGTAGTGCATGTATTCAAGTACTGTACTTATTTTTGAGATCATTAAATTATGTTGTACCTTTACTCCAATACATTTATCCGACTACATGACAAAAAAATGCTGGTGAACTGATTTATATTTAACTATCAATAATGTTATGAAGCAGTTCAAATGAAATCCTTCTCAGTGACCCATGATAGGTTTTCATGTTAATTATCTATAATATTGTTCCAATAGGTATAACACAACCTTTTACTTGTAACGGAGTATTTATTTTATTTGTAGTGCTTTAACATTTAATGATAATGCATCTTTCACTACTTCTAAAAGCAAACTACTGTGAATTCGCCAATGATGTAATACTAAATCTCTCACACTGCTTATATGTAGAAGAAGAAGGAGTCTTTTTGTTGTTTTCTCACCCACCATCTACCAGTAAAGGTGACGGCGCTCACATAAGTCAAACGACATTCAAGCCTTTGTTCAAGGAAAATTGAGCAACCTTGAACTTCCGCCACCCTTCTTTGAACTTCGCAGAAATCTGAAACACTGATCTCTAAAGCCAACACGATTTAAAAACACCTTATTAGTTAGATTTACAAAAAGTCTGTGCAACAGTCCTAGTTCTGTTTAAGATTATTTACTTTATTTACTGTACCTTTCATCAATCAGAAGCCACAAGCAACTTTTTGAAAGGTGAGAAATGTCAGTAGAAGGGGAGAAAAAATAGGCAACAAATGCAGAGATTTTCTTAAAAGAGGCTTTCAGCTGCAGACATGAGCATTGTGCAACTTACCGTAGCAGTGTCGAGCATGGCTGATTCATACTGCCACGGACATTGAAAAGTGTGCAATTCATGTCAACTCCTTCATTGCCTCAAATACAGCTGTCATTTTTCATAGTCTACAGATCATGTAAAAAGTGTCCTCAATATCTCAATGTACAGTTAACAACTGTGGCAGTGGCAGGATTCATTTTTGTAACATTTGTCAAAATTATCTGAAATAAAAGTTTTTATTCAGAAGGGTAACAGGCAGGTCTTTTCTAGCTTGGATAGACTCTGGGGATGGCATTATTATTATTAACTTTTTGACAGATTGTTATGACATTTTGGACAGACATTGATGGTCCCAGCAGGATGAACCCTTCCAAATTTGGTAATTTTGGGATTTTTCCTCTCGCACCACCTGCATGTCCAAGTTTTCACCTAAAGGAAATATCTCAACATTTACTGGATACATTGTCGAGTGAACTTTGTATGGACATTCAAGGTTCCCAGAGTTCCGAATCCTAATTATTTGGGATACCTCCTGTCTTTCTCTAGCACCAACCATGTGGTTAAACTGTTTTGCTCTGAATGAAATATCATTGAAAACTGATGCAGACATTCAAGTCCTTCTCAGCTTGTAATCATTTGGGGGATTTGATGAATTCACATTAGTGCCACCATTAGGTTGAAATAATGAGAATCCCGATTGCTTACATGTCATTTTGTGTTTTTGATAACAGGTTTGTTTTCAAATGCTTGAATTCCAAACCAAAATGGGTAAAATGATACTTCCCAAACATCAGCATGTCATCATGGCCACTGTGAGTATAATAGCCTTTAGCTCAAACCACCACTGTAACACATTCTTTGTCTTTCTATTAACTACATAATCCGTCACATCTCTAAAAGGATATCATTTGGACCTCCATGCAGGCCTGCTTTTACCAACTTTAAAGCTGCAATGACAAAAACATAACCCCTCACTGTCTTCCCACCCACAAAAATGTCTTAATGTCATGCACTACCAGCAGAAATCAGTCACTGTTTTAGTGGGAAATTGCTTTTTTCTCTCACGGTCTGAGCAACCTCAATAGGTTTTTTAGCTTACAGTATGCCATTATCTTGATGCCTGTTGGTAGAATATCTTCTGTGTTAGGTAGTATGTTACTAATATGACCTCAAATGCTGCTGCACTGGGTTAAATCAAATCTATATATATATATATATAACCTTAAAAGTCTCAATCACATTCCCCCAGTCAGTAAATCATGTTTCTGATAAAGCTTCCTTTTGAAAGGAACAAGGACACAAGTTTCTCCTCACACCTAAAAGCACATCAGGTAGGGAACATTGTGCTTTGATGATAGCGCTCACTGTTTATGTGTCTGTTGATGGGCTTTACCACTTCAGAGCAGATCATCTTCTCATCTCAGGAACTAGATGAAAGACACTGCCTGCATGTGACATAACTACAGCCAGGCTGAAGAAACCGAGTTGAATCTGACTTTGCTCTTAAGATACAAATACAACACAATTTAACGTTTTATCTGATATTTTCAACAACCCTGTAATAATGAGACTAGCTGGATCAATAATAATGGAGGGATTTTTTACTAATCCATGAAATGCTTACCTAGGCCTAGATTAATGTCATCCAGTTGTACCAAAGCATTTCTGCTAGAGAGATATATTAGAAACCTTCCACAAGTCAAACCAAATAGCAAAACAGTACATTTGAAAGATATTTACATTTACAAAAAAAAAAAAATAATAATAATAATAGTAATGTAATAGTACAAATGTAAAACTTAGCTCATTTCATCCTGTTCTTCCTTGTTTGTAATTGTGTCTAAAATGTGACTTATTCATTGTTATTGCTCAAGATAGATAAGTGGCTTCCTATAGGTGCGTATAAGTACTGCAGAGAGAATCTATTTTTGGACAGGAAAATAGAGCTTCCGAAATAGTTTCTGAAATGCTAACAATAGATATTTTATGTGTTATTTCTAAAAACATAGTTTGGTTCTTTTAATTTCACTGCACTGAGGTGTTTGCATGTATGAGAAACAACAAGCAAAGCCACATGCAGGAGCGGATCTGTGAGATGTAGGCTGTGGCTGGCCATTTCTCTGCTTTGACAGACCGCAAAGCATGTTTACTCAGAATGCTCATGACTTTGGGCATCAACAGGATATGTCACTAGCGTACAAGAAGCCTCCGCAGGCTAAATTTAGCAAAAGCAGTTAATGTGATAGATTTTGGTTTTGCCTTCTTGGATGTGCACTCATTTAGTTCAATCAATGTCTAGTAAACAACACAACTCAATCCCATGCAAGCACAATTGTTGAGTTTTAATTACATCCTTTGTTATAAATGATAAAGTTATGTTGTGGTTACTATTCAAAATAAATCAATTCGATTTCTGTTACCGTTCAAACGATGATATTCACTATCGTACTCGGCATCAGGTTTGCTCACCGCTAGTGGTGGATGAAGGGCCCTAAAAAACTCATCTACAAACCAAACAAACCAGACATTAGGTTTGACTGACCAATGTAAGACTATGACGATTGTCACAAGTAAACGTGTGTGAGTTGTGTAGCCCAACCTTTAATCCAGGTCATCATAAGAAACGTAAGATATCCCCCCTTTCATGACTAGATTTAGAGTCCAGTACTTCCCTGAGTGGAGATAGCTGTTTCCCCCTGTTTCCACTCATTGTGCTAAGCTAAGCTGCTGACTGTAGCTTCATATTAGCAGCACGCACCTGAGGCTGATATCAGTCTTTACGTTGAACTCTGCAAGAAATAAGTATATTTCTCTGGAAGACTTCAAGCTACAGGTGTGAAAACTAAGATCAGTAGTTAGCACGAAGATTTGAAACCACATTGTGTGCACGTGTGTGCGTGTGTGCGTGTGTTGACTCCTCTGAAACTAAAGACAAAGATAGCCTCTGTGGTTTCAAACCCATTCTGACCAAACATTTCTGAAGTTTCCATCTATCATCTTTTCTTTTTTTTGTATGTGTGTAAGCATCAACCAAAGACTCTCTTGTAAATGTATTTTAACCGTGACAAAAACTGTACAGATCAGTAAACAATAGATATATGATTTTGTAATATATGTTAAATTCCTTTCTTTCTCTTTAACATCCATTACAGAGAGACAGGAAGTCCAAGAGTGTGGATGTGATGCTTTAAGTATCAGCCAAGCTTGTGTCACGTTTCTACGCCCATTCATTTCTTTAAAGTTGTTTATTTTTTAACTAAACAATATTAATATTTTGTTTAAGTATAAGTGTCCTTAGCAATTTACTTATCAACAGGAGCTAATGTTGTTTAAACGTTAACGACAAATTAGTCATAGAGGCTGTTTGAGGGGGAGGGGGCCTACATTCATACAAAGCAATTTTTGTGAATAATACAATTAATATATGACTGGAGTGATAACTTCTGTGGAAGCTGCAGCTAGTACATCTATCTAAAATTAACTTGGTATCACATTTGCTGAAACGATCACTATATCCTGAAAGTCATGCATGAGATAGATCACCTGATGAATATAATTATGTTCCTCTGCCTCCCCCCAGTGCTTCTAGAGGCATTTGCAAGGTAGCAGCGCCTGAATGAAAACAGGCATGTCAGTCCAAAGGGTGCCAGAAATCTGATTTTATTGGAATATTTTTTTTGTCAAAAGATTAGCTTTGAATGGGCTTGTGAAAAGTGCTCATTTAAGCTAAAACAAACATACAAAAAACATGAACTGTATTTCAAACAAAATGCATGATATTTGTAGTTAGAAAAGTTAAAGAAATAGCAATTTTAGATTGGAGTCATTTACTTTGTTGTAAGGTTTGGGTTCATTCATTGTTTTCTATTAAAATATAAGTTGTAAGAATTGTAAATCTAAGAATAAGTAACTTTTGATGGATAGAAATAATACTTTTAATAAACATTCCAATTGTATTTGTATTGGAATAGTATGGCTCTGTACTCTCTTTTTTTTTGTTACCTTCTCTTTTCTCATTTCATGTGGGACGGTGGCTATCCTTGCATTGAACAGCCATCTTGACCTTCCATCAGGAGCCACTGCATGGGAAGGTGCAGAGCCGACAGCCAACAGCACTCTGCTGAAGCCCCTGCTAAATAAAGCGGCCTTTGGCATGATGGAAGTACAATGGAGGTGCCTGTTGTTGACGCCCTGAAGGTAGAACATGCTTTTTGGTCCTTTAGTTGTAACAGGTTAACTGAACAACATTTGTTTGATGTCTGTTTAACTTTAGCTTGTGTTTTAAATAACCTTTGTGCCTTTCATGGTGCACTTTCTTATTTAGGGAAGACAAAAAGAATACAACTAGTAATTTGGCTGGTCTTCATAAGCTTTACTCCAGGTGTAACTGCCAACTGAATAGTGAAACTTATATACCGAAGATGCGTTTGTACCTTTCAATCAGAATCAGACAAATGAAAATACATAATACAAGTACTAATGCTGTATATTAAATAACAAATAGCTAAGTGAGTGGGACAAATTATACAAAACCCTACACAATTGGGCACAGATGAATGGGACGAGCTTACTGTTGATGTAGTCCTGGGTCCAAATGGCATCTTGACAAATATATGACACCCGTCACCCACACACCTCTCAAAAGACGGGGCTTTGGCCAGCTGCTGGAAGAATTGCTCCTTCTCCTTCAGTTCTGGGGCAGCGGGAAGTTTAACTACTTAACCGAACGCCTTTGCAGACCGGTCTGCAGACTGTGTCTCTGGGATCTTGAACGGCCCGGGACACCACACTGTATGATAAACTGTGTTCTAGCCAGTACAGTGTATTAGCATTATGTAGTGTCCAAAGGCCTGTCTCCTACCAGTGTGCAGGAGGTAGTGTTTATCATGTAAATGCAGCATAGGAACAATACAGTTGAGGTAAATGGATGCTTGTAGATTTTTAGCTGTTGAAGGGCACATGGTTGATACCCTCAAAACAGATAACTTTGCACAACATTCTTTTCTATTTTTATGACAAACATGTTGTATGTCTGATATTCTAATTAAATAATTATTATGTTTTGATAATTAATTGTTCATGCCAAAATGGGAGAATTTCTTCCCCCACGTGGGAATGTTCTTTTCAGTTTTTATACCATATTTAACTGAATATCCTTGGGTGTTGGACTGATAAGACATTTAAAGTCATCCCCTTTGGCTTTTGAAAGACTGGGACAGACATTTTTCACTCTTTTAATAAAGTAATGAACTTTTAGATATACTTATGTTCACATAAAAAAGAAACAATGCAAATCTCATAAATATGACATCACACATTTTCATAGCTATTCGGTCACATCAAACATTATCAGTGCACCTTTTTTTTATCAATATGCATAAGAAAAAAAAAGCACTAGAGCAGACTGCAGAGCGCCAAAACAGGAAGGAATACATCATCTCAAACATGCAGCGGCAGGCCTAAACCCACTTATTCATAAATAACCACACAAACAGCAAGTGCACTCTGAACTCCTGTAGCATCAACAACAACAACAACAACACAGCAAAGAGTTTTATCAACAAAAACAGCAAAAATAAATACTGACCCATCAGGGAAAAAAGGGCAGATAAGAGAAAACATGTGTATATATAAAAACTCACCTTATCTGCCGTTATCAGGCTGTAGAGGTTATTTATGAGTTTCAGTTAAAAAGCAAGAAAACTGAAACTCTGTTGCTCATCCAGGTAGAACGTGCTGCTGGGAACACATTGTGAAACCCAGATAATGAGGTATGAGGTATAATTCTTTTTTTATGCATCATGACAAATAGTTATATTTTTGTGTTGTGAGCTGAAGGTCAAACAAAGTCAAAGTCCAACCTGAAATTGTATAGATAGTGTTTGAAACATTGTCAATTTGAATGTGTTGTTTGGAGTAAGAACTGGTCCCCACATAAAGTAGTAACTGTGTGAGGCCAAAAGCAAAGAGGACTAAATGTATAATAATAAACACTCATGGCAAACCTACAAATCTGCAGTTTAATTCCTACAGGGTCCGATGTGATGATCTTCATGTTAAAGACTTACTTCTGATTAAAGCAACTTCTTTTGCTTCATTTTATAATTTTGTGTTTCTAACGTTCCCAATATAGCTCTGTATGTACCACTTGTATTTCCAATGCTGACTCAACTTGGATATCAGTATATCTCTGTCTCTCTTCACTCTGCTGCCATCTTCTGGTACAGGTGCATAAGACTGCTTTGCTCCAACATTTTTAGCAAGTTGCATACTGTATGGTTTCACTGAGGAGGCCGACCTATTCAGACTTGTACGGGCTATATCGTTATCAAACCTGTTACGTTTGGAGCAAAGGCAGAACGTTTATTTAAATGTTTGCTGATCACAGTTCAAGTTTATTCCGGTAAAGCCTTGAACCCAGTGAAATGAACATTGGTGTAATCACAGTATGATCAGACAACAAACTAATGATGCAATTGGCTGTTTCACAGTTCAAAGTATGGGCTACAGGAAAAAGGGCAAAAATATAGGACATATGCACTTACACAGAGGATCAAGTAGCCTATACTGTACAATGTCCATTTTTACACAATTAATACTCATTAAATGTCTTTGGTAAAGAGTCTAGCCTTTTCAGTTAGCATTACAGTTATTTAGGCCTGCATATTAATCTAATAGGCATCACAGTTGCAATAGGAGCCTGTGCGATTATATAACCAAAAGGCTATGATTTTGTTGAAAATGAAAAGTGTGTGTGTGAATGTGACAGCGTATTCACTGTTTGTGCATTCTGATCAATATGTACCCACATGATGCATAGCCGACTCATCAGTCTGTGTTTGTCATGCTGCGTTTGGTCACCTTACTGTGCAGAGAAGAGCGGGAGACTTGTGGAAATGGATGCTAACGCTAATCAGAATGACACTGAACTGTTGGCCAAATAAAACATGTCCTCTGTTGTATAATGATACTTTGGCTTTAAGCTCGACTACAATAAGACCAAACTTTGAAAAACAAATGTTGCTACAGATCAGGGGCGGTTCTAGGGGAGGAGGTTTTTGATTAAACGATTTATTGGCTGACGGAATAGGCGGAACTAACGTTATTTGTCATTTTAGTCGGACCCATTAGAGCGTAAAAACTGTAACTAAAAGTATCTGAAATAAATATGTGTACTGAAACAAATACCAATTACTGTATTGCATTGTTTTCTTATGCGCAATTACTTCATACTGTCTTTGTCTTTTTCGTCCTGCATTTATTGTGCCCCAGCCTGCCCCCCCAAGTCAAATTGGTCTAAAACCGCCTCTGCCTACAGTACACCGCAACACAACACATGTGTACCAGCCCCTTAAACAGTGAAAAGTAAGAAGAATGCGTTACAACTAAAGTTCAGATTTATAAAGATAGAGAAATATAACTGTCGTAATGGCAGGCGCTGCACTACATGACAGGTTTTTACAGAGGTATAGGGAAAAGATTGGCTCATGGGACCTGTGTGAGGAGCGTCTGTCGCAATCACAACACACAACAACACTAACATTGTTAAAGCGGTAAAGTTAAATCACTAGATGATCCAGTTTTTTGGTCATTTAAATTACCTTTCCATTTTTAAATTGAAAAGAAACAGTGGTGATATTCATTGTTCTACTGTTGAGAAATCTGCCCAAAGTAGTTTAAATGCCATTAGTTTGAAAGAGGATATATTTGTTGTTAACCATTACATTTTCTTAAATATTATTTAATTGTTATTTTGAAAACACTGCTTTACACATTTTCTAGTTTTTTAACTTATGTTACGAGAAATATACCTTTTAAAATGTTTTAGCATTTTCCTTTCGATAGCTAAGCAAGTATACCCATGAAAGCATTTTTATTATAATATTGCAGTCCCAAATCGCAATGTTGTCCACAATAATCCCAATATAACTTTTACGTGCAGCCTTTCTGTTTTTGTAATTATTTTACACCTTGATGCATTAAAAATGAAAAAGACAATCGTAAGCTTTTAAATGTATTTTATTATATTGCGAATAAGGTGAAGTGAGTAGTTAGTTGGGAAAGTACGCAACATTGTCTCTGCCGTAGTAAACTGGGAAGCCTTCTTCACATCTGAATGCAATTTTCCTGGTGAGGCTTTGACCTTGGTACTGACAGTGGGGTCTACGGGCCCCTTGGTTCTTCAGACTGCAGATGACAATGTCGAAGGGTTGGAGGCTTTCGGTATAAACACCATATGGCTCTCCTGCAAGCCGACATACATTATTGACTCGGTCGGTGTTTGCTAGTACGAAGATATGGTCATCTTTACACCTGTTACTGTCAGCTTTGGCGATCCCTCTCTCCTCTATCACCTGGTCACAACTGTTTACATCCATGCTCCCGATGATGTGCTGATTTTTAAACTTTATGAAAGGCTCATTCTGAGAGCTCACTGTAGCAGAAAGCAACAGCAAACAAGCAAATGAGATCCTCATGATTCCCTGGTGAAGAAAAAGAGGGAAAAACTTTTGTTAGAGAATGAATGCCAGCATACATGAGTACTTATTATAATTAATATTTCCCATGAGCAATAACATTTTATGAGACGTGGTGTTGTAGCATCACCACTGTTATCAAATTATACTTGTTTCAAGTACTCAACACGATGAAATCAATGGACTCATTTAATTATATTCAAATGCATTTTATGGTTGTTTTTCTTTTTATATTGTCCTATATTTAAAATATTTGTTGGACATATTGTTTGTTGAGATTAAAGGTGTCTTATCTTAAGTAAGAGTGTTGCTAAAAATACTTTTTCTGTATTTATCTTTTAAGTGTTACAGACCTGCAGAGAAATCAGGTAAGATCACATCCAACACAGTCATGAGGAACAAAACAAAAATCACTGTTAAACTCTTACCGACTGCTGCATTATAAAAGGGAGAGTAATAAGAAAATACAAACCTTTTAAGTTTAATGTGGAATGGTAACTGTTTTTTCCACCTTCCTTTTGTATAGTCCTTGCAGCTGAAAAGGTAGAAATAAATGAAAACAAGTTTTTGGTCATCAAGTTTGTCATAAACATATTGTATACTAATGTTTCATAAAAGGCATATTTACCTGAATCACAAACACAGTGAAAGTGAAGTCTCTGCAAACTGCTGAATCATTTATAAGAGTTGTTTTGGACTTTGATTTCTTGGCCCAACTTCGCATTGGGGAGAAAACTCCCAAATCATCACGTTGGCCAAAGGTAAACAAAGTATTTACTGTTTGACAACATTATGCAATATAGCATTAGTCACCACACGTCCTCTGAAGTTTGACTAACTCTTTCAAACCTGCACACATGCTTCTGAAATATGAATCATTTTTGACATTTCAAGTCTTTTAAGCAAATGATTCACAAACAGTAGTGCCTCGAACAATGTCATCAATAACAATGACACAATATGAAAAGTGAAGTATTGTGTTTTTCCATTAAGTATGTTTCGCTTTACAAACAAAATAGAGAATATTGTTTACACAGTTAAAAGTGCTTTTACATTCAAATTAAACAAAAGGGTTTGATAACAGATCTGACAGGTGTATAGGACATATGTCTTTCTTCCCTTTGAGGTCGATGCTTAAGATAATTCATATGCATCATGCTGTACCTGCAAGTTAGAGATGCTGATAGTCATAAACCACATGACTCACAATAGCATGATTCACCTCCAACGTCCTGTGGAATACCACAGGTCTGTTGAGTCTGAGTGATGACGTGTAGATGTTTGGTCAGAGGGTGAGAGTATTAAAGTCAAAGCTTTTATTTGTTAGTATATCAGCTGCATGTGGTTTTGCTTGTTTCCCAGACCACTGCACACATCACTTCTCAACAGTGATGCGCACACGAAAAATCTACAAAAACGTAACATTTGGAAAATTTGAATGACAATATTGGGACTCAACTACTTTTGTATGAATTAAAACATTTGCTGTATTTGACGTATTGAGCTAGTACCATTATTCATAATAGTTATTTCTAATGATATCCATAACTACTTTTGATTATTTCATGAAACTGAATTATAAAAACAGACACAAATGTAAGTGGTTAAACGGTTTATTAAGCAAGCACAGGAAAGCTTGACACACATGTATTACTTTGAAGTTCTTCACCATAGACATAACATGTGGCATTTGCTTTTGTTTCCAGAGAAACTAAGAATCACATTTTTCAGCATTGTTTTAACTTTTTTTGAAACATTCATCATAACAGGCACTATGTTTTTACAAAAGGTACGTTGCCCTTTTCAAACATGTGTCAAAAACATTGTCATGCATGCAAGAGAAGTACACATCAGCTCCATCAGTCACAGTGACCAATGTCTTTATCATAGTGCACAGGCAAGCCTTTTTCACATTTAATTATTATTTTCTTGTTCTCGAGTTGTCTACCATTGTAAGAACAGTTGGTAGGAGGGGTTGTTATTTGATCCCATTCACAGACAACAATGTCAAAACCTTTAAGACTTTTAGTCAGGCTATCAGGAAAAGGCTCTCCCTGATCCAAACAGATGGCTTCCACAGCTTCAGCATCGGATAGGATGAAGGTATTGGTCGTCTTACAGCTTTTTTGTTTGATACAATTGATTTTTCTAACTTGCATTACTTTATTACACCCACAAGGAGACATTTCTTTATCGATATGCTGTTTTTTGAATTTCTTATAACGGTTTGGGTTTTTTTTATCCAGAGAGAGCACGGCAGCCGAGAGCAGCACCAGCAGCAAACAGACAACCTGGATCCTCATTGTTGCCTGAAGAAGAAAAGCCAGGAGAAATACAACATTTAGGGAAATGGTGGTAACTGGTTGCTTGGCTTTATGCATTGCATCACTACTTTTGATCCAGATTAAAACTGAAATAAGTAAACCTGTGTTCACAAATAATACTGAGTCTTAAGTTAACCAAAGTAAAAGTTGCACCAACAAAACAATAAACAACCACAACAGAAGACACAAGCTCTGTGTGAATACTTACTGAGACTTCGATACTGAAGAGGGTGTGAAAATAGAGGAATACTTTTCACAGGTAGGAAAGTGATGACTTCCTTTTCTTCTTTACTAGATCTTTCCGCAACAAAAGAGAATCATAAATGTTATGTATTTGTATTGCAACTTACTTAACTTAATAAATAAAACCATAAAAAAAGGATAACAAAAAGTGTATTTACCTGTATCGCAGACACTGCTCAAAGACAAAGAAATATCTTGAAACGATTGACTCTTTTATAGGTAGTGTGTTTCCTTAGTGTGTGAATACCCCTCCCCGACTAACCACGTTAACCTATGTCACAGACCAGACCCAGCCTGTCTGCATACACTCATGCTGAGCATCCTTACACCCACATCACTACCTGTTAATGCAAGTTTGAACTCCCCTCCCCTGCTGCTTCATCTAAATATAGATGAATTATGATAATGACATTTGTTTTATCTTAGGTTCAGCAAGTGGTGAAATTGTTTCTTAAAAGTGAACAAGTAAATCCACATTTGATAATGTTTTTGTTGAGCTCCATTATAAGAACATTTGGAAGGAATAGTTTAGTTTTTTCCCGTTTACAGACAACAATGTAAAGCGTTGGCGGCATTTGATCAGGTTACCAGAAGTTAAGCTTAAATCCTCAAAAAAGATCTCAATCATAAACAGGTCCATACTAAATACAAGCAAAGCGAAAGCTATTATAATCAGGTAAACTAGTGTTGTAGCACTTTGTTGCATCTCAATGTCTTACATAATTGAGACATTTAGCCCTAAATGACCTTTAGCTTTCAGATGTCTGCTAAGCTGCTGCATTTTGCTTTGGTGGTTATTTCGCTGGAAAATAAAGATAGAATGATGCAAACTTGAGTGGGGGTGGCGGGGGCACCATAGCAGGGCCCAGGAGGTGAACTGCAACCTTTCCAAGTACCAGTCCACACTAGTCTGTTCGGGGACTTGAACTGGCAACCCTACAGCTCTCAGTCCAAGCCCCTACTGACTGAGCCACTGGTGGTTAGTTCCAAGGCAAATAAAGATAGAATGATGCAAACTTTCAGATGTATTGTGTTTTTCCATTTAGTATGTTTCCCTCTACAAAACAAAATAGATAATATTGCTTACACAGTTAAATGTGCTTTTCACATTCAAATTAAACATGAGGGTTTGCTAACATCTGACAGGTGTACATTATAGGACAGAGGTCTTTCTTCCCTTTGAAGTTGATGCTTAAGAGCATTCATATGCATCATGCTGGACCTGCAAGTTAGAGATGCTGATAGTTATAAACCACATGACGCACAATAGCATGATGAGAACTTAGTTACATTTTGCACGACTCACCTCTAACGTCCTGTGGAATACCACAGGTCTGTTCTGAGTGATGACGTGTAGGTGTTTGGTCAGAGGGTGAGAGTATTAAATTCACAGCTTTTATTTGTTATTAGAGCAGCTGCATGTGGTTTTGCTTGTTTCCCAGCCCACTCACACATCACTTCTCAACAGTGATGCGTACATGAGGAATTGACACAATATTAAATTATAAAACATATTATGATGCATAAAAATATGGGACATAAGTACTTTTGTGTGAATTAAGATATTTGCTGTATTTGATATAAACTTAACACAAAAAGTAAGGAAATCTGTGTTTGGTAGATGATTTATTTGCAGTAACAATGCTTCTTGTCAATACATGTATTGGAAAACCTGTTTATTTACCTTTCAAATGGTGCCACATTTGTGAGGAACATGCATCTGTGGGATGAGCAGCAGAGCTGAGTATGTGGGTTGCGCCCATGAAAAATGTGACAAATCTCTGCTGCCAATGCAATAATTAAAAACGTTGCACGTTCAGTTAATTAAAGCATCACAACACTTGTGCTACCTTCTGCTACAAAGGATAGAAAATAGACTCATGTCTCTTGACACAGCTAACATCTTTTGGTAGCACCTAGTTGGTTTAGTAGATTGACAAATAAATGAGGAAGTCCCCAGTGGAAACTATAACCAAATATATGTTCTAAGATCGTCTTAAACAACCCTACGCAGCCATATCTGGAATCTATTCTTATTCTATTATAAAAAAATGTTAGTAGCATCTTTATCTGTTACTGTGCAGAAGTATTGGGTTTTAACTTGTTAGAAGTAAAGGCCTCTGGTCATGCAACAAAACCCAAATAGGTTTTTCAAACTTCTTGAAGAGCTTTTGAAGAAATACAGTTTTTTTTTAAAGCTTAACATGTTAGGTCAATGTATGTTCACCTTTTACTTGACATTAAAACACAAAGGTTATTTAAAACACAAGCTAAAGTTAAACAGACATCAAACAAATGTTGTTCAGTTAACCTGTTACAACACACTCTCACTCCCTAAGCGTCCAGGAGCGACGCTTGGTCAGGGTCCCGAGGCGTGCAGTTGGGACGCTCCTAGGCTCCTTCAGCTTCATAAACGGACGCAAAGAGCTTTCAACTGATTGCAATGTATTCCCATCGGCGGCGGTATTTGACGCTCATGGAAGCACGGCATTCGTTTGTGTCGGAGGCTGTTAAAGGCAATGTGAGCGTCCATTCCCATTGGATAACGGAGAATTGTACACCCGGAAGTAAGTATTCCCCTTACTGTCGATTGATTTGACAGTGATATCTCCACTACTCAACTCAAAAACGCCAGATTACTGTATCCTTGTTAATTAAACGACGGTTTTAGTGAGTGTACAATGCTTTTGTCACGTTTTCCCCTTCAATTCTGAGAAACAAGTCGTTTTCTATGAGTTTTGGATGGCCGAAGACCCACAATTACCCACAATCCTCTGTAGCAACCATAGACTGTATAAAACAATTAAATAATATTGGCTGATTCACAGTCCAAAGTATGGGCTACAGGAAAAAGGGCAAAAATATAGGACATATGCACTTACACAGAGGATCAAGGAATAGTGTGTGTGTGAATGTGACAGCGTATTCACTGTTTGTGCAATCTGATCAATATGTACCCACATGATGCATAGCCGACTCATCAGTCTGTTTGTCATGCTGCGTTTGGTCACCTTACTGTGCAGAGAAGAGCGGGAGACTTGTGGAAATGGATGCTAACGCTAATCAGAAGGACACTGAAC